AGAAAAATAGCCAACAACCAAAACCAAAACAACACAAACCCCAACTTACTTGATACGTTTTGAAAACACTAGGGGACCAAACTGACAGAGAAGTGAATCATGATAATTATATTATGGCGAAGGCAAACCAATAATTTATATTTATATATTCTTTAAAAATCAACCGTTGAGGGGCTTGTGAAAACCACGCACCACGCAGGCCTCATCAATCAGACTGTTGCTTTCTTTTACTTAACTCTTTTATCTAGTGGGATTTTTAAAAAGTTAACATTTATATTTTTTTGCCCCCTCCCCACACCCGCGGCCCCTCCTAGACCTATTCCCCACTGCTTTTTATTTGGTTTGTTTCGTTTTTTCTTTTTTTTCTGTTTATTTTACCCTGCTACGTATTCAAATTGCAAAATGTAAATGTGTATTATTTGAGCGTTTGCCCCGCTCGATTTTAGATCGATAAAGAAACAGCCCGGAGTGATCTTGAAATATTCTGTAAATTTGTTGTCAATACACTGGCGCCGTCTGCTATTGCTTTATGACAGACGTCAGCGGTTCCAAACACACGGGACAGAACGATAAAGTAAAGAATTATGGCTCGCGGATCTATCACGTTCAGGCGATCCCTGTTTTCGTTCATGACGTAGATCTGGAAGCCTAGACCTATGTGTTTTTTGTCTAGTAGATCTAGGAATGGCCTAAGCTAAGCTATGTGTTTTAATTTCAAATAAAGTGCACAGTTCACAGTGTGCTAAGCTCTTCCTTGTGAGATGTTGGAGTTTACTTTCAGTAGTTGTAACACGATTTGAATTTGGAAGAACAGGTAGGCTATGTAACAAGAATGATTCATTGATGACGCGATAAAGTAGGAGCAATTTCATTTACCGGTAGGCATTCGAGTAGTTTCTTCTTTATTTGCGCACTGTAGATCTACATTTTAATGTCTTTGAAACACTTCATCATTATTGCTATCACAGTAGTTGGAGTTGCTTTGTTGTGTTTTGATTTTGTTTTTCTTTTTCGAGTTTTAAGTGGCTGGACTAGGCCGCTGGAGAGTCTTACGTATTATATTTGGATGGAAATGGACGTTTAAAACAACATAATTTGATGACTTGATAAAACAGACAACGAAATTATCTAATTCTCCTGATTACACCATTTCCCCCAACAATTAGACCAGGCGTATGTAGTGGCGTCGGTGGCCTAGTGGTTAGGCTACCGGACTCGTAATCGTGAGGTTGCGGGGTCAGGGGTTCGAGCCGCGGGCCCGATGTTGTGTCATTTGGAAAGACACTTTACACGAATTTTCCCCACTTCACCCAGGTGGAAATGGGTACCCGGCCATAGACAGCGAAAAATCTTGTTAGTATGTTAGTGTTTTAGCGCCTATA